TATATTGTGCTTCCCTGCAAAATCTATCATTTCTTGTGTCTCCTTCATGCCCCCTGTCACGCTTCCTACTATAAGCTTCCTCCTTATAATTGAAAAATCACTTAGATTTCATCACAAGTGAATTCGACCAAACCAAAAAAAATTTTTTTGGACTTAACTAATTTTATTTTTTTGACTTAACCAATCTATCGACCATCATTGGTGAGCTTGACTGCATGCACCTGTTAGTGACTTTGTATTTGTGTCAGAAATGTGAAACTTTTCTTGTTTGAAGAAATGTCTTGAATCTATTTATGATATCAATCTTGTGAACATTACATTTAACTATTNCAGCATGCACCTATTAGTGACTTTGTATTTGTGTCAGAAATGTGAAACTTTTCTTGTTTGAAGAAATGTCTTGAATCTATTTATGATATCAATCTTGTGAACATTACATTTAACTATTATTTTGTCATTTGAACTTTGGTCCCTGTACAGATTTTTCATTAGTTCATAAATTCATTTATCCATTATGATCGGTTATTTACTTATTATTTCATTTACCACCAAAATTACTTTAGCGGAATCATATGATAACAAAAACTTTATGATGCCTGAGAAATAGNTTTCATTTACCACCAAAATTACTTTAGCGGAATCATATGATAACAAAAACTTTCTGATGCCTGGGAAATAGTTTTTTTTTTAATGGTGAGAAAGAAAGAATGAATGAGAGGCTAGCTGCAATACATTTTCTTTTGTGTTGTATTGCTAGTTTTTATGAAGATTGCTTTCTAGAAAGCCTTATAAATCTCGAAATAGGAGACTTCCCAAAATAATCTCAAAACCAATAATATTAGCCTGTAACTAAGACCCCAGCAACTCAGAAACACCCATCAAAGTTGCTGATTTTTGCTCTCTGTAGTTGCTGATTTTTTTTGCTCTCTATATATCTGCTGAGTTGTTGATTTTTTGGGGGCATGAAAAATGTATGTTAGATCTATGATTTCTATACTTTACATTGGGAAATTATTATGATTGTCTGTGGGTGTAGATGGTCAATTTGAATGTCAATCAGAACCTGGATAATGCTGATGTTATGGAAATTGAACCAACCAAAGTTGATCAACCAAGGCCTACTAAGAATGAGACAATTTTTATTGAGTTAATGGATGAACAAGTTGCCTTGAAAAATAGGCCAAATACCACTTTCACTCGACAGTCATGGAGCTACATACTTCAAGAGTTGAAACGAAGGACTGGCTATGCATATACCCATGAGCAACTTAAGATTTAATGCTCTAAGACAAGTTTGGAAGGATTTTCACAAACTAGTTACAAACACCACAGGGGCTGGTTGGGATCCAGAGAGAGGGACTATGACTTTTCCAAATGATGTTTTGGGACAATTTGATCAAGATATAAAAAATNGAGGAGTTGTGACTTTTCCAGATGATGTTTGGGACAATTTGATCAAGGTATAAAAATGTTTATTACTTATATGAGAATTTATATAAAAATTCTACTGTTAACTAGTTTCCTATCACTCATCTATTTATAGGTCAACAAGCGAGCAAAAAAATTCAGGAAAAAAGGTTGCCCACATTATGAGGCATTGTGTAGAATCTACCAGGACACAACAGCAAGCAGTAAACATGCTCACCCATCAACCAAACCTCCATCTGACAATGAAGAGGAACATGATCCTAACCATGACCCAAAAGATGAGGAAGCTAATGATAATGATGATGATAACCCAGTGGATAACAAACGTAATCGAATCCGATCTACCACTCCAACTAGTTGCCGACGACCAAAAAGAGAAACTTATGGGCGTGCCCTTACCAGTGCACTCATTGTGTTAGCCGATTCTGCTAAACTTAAGGCAAGCTATTGCGAGAAAAAATTGGCAAGTGGTGGTGAGTCATCGACTTGTGTGGAGTCCTTAGAAAATTCAGTCAGTACAGATGATCCACATAAGGAGATAATAAAGGCTTGCATGACTGCTTTGAACTCTCTCGAAGACATTGATGATGCAGCTTACACAAAAGCTATTAAACTGTTGCGTGATAATGTAATGTGGCGAGAGTTGTTTCTTTCAATGCCTGAAAGTAAGAGGGGTGTGGTGCTAAATCTGTGATGTTCTTGTGCTTGCAATGGTGTCGTATAATATTATGTTATGTTATGTACGCTTTCTTTTATTAGGATTTATATGTAATGGTACTCTTTAAATGTTATGTTATGTTATGTTATGTATGTTTTCTTTAATTAGTATTTGTATGTAATGGTACTCTTTAAATGTTATGTATGCTTTCTTTAATTAGGATTTATATATAATTGTACTCTTTTTTAATATTACATCAAGTACTATTTTTTTATATTGCATCATGAACTTGGACGATTTGATGGAAATGATGGAAGAGGAAGATGAGGAGTATATTGTCGAGATTGTTGTGTTACTATTGACGGAGGAACTTGACAATTGACGGAGGAACTTAACAGGCTCTCTTCAAAACAACCATGTAGAACATCTCAACTTAAGGGTCATGACTATGTCATAGAATTAATTAATGGACATGAAAATAGGTACTATGATCAGTTCAGGATGGACCATAACGTGTTTGTGTTATTCTGTGAGGAACTAAAAAGTAAAGGGAATTTAAATAACTCGAGGTATGTGACAGTTCAAGAACAAGTGGCTATATTCTTATTAATTATATCTCATAATGAGAAAATTCGAATAGTAGCTAAGAGGTTCCAGCATTCAAGCCATACTATCCATTTTTACTTTCATCGTGTCTTTAAGGCTGTTTGTAGACTTGGTGTCCATATTATCAGACCTCCTGATTTCAATATTATTCCACTTCAGATTCGATACAATCCTAAGTACTATCCATTCTTTAAGGTAAGATATATTTTATTATTTGTTATGCACATGATATATTCATATTAACGGTTTATGTGTCGTGTTAGAATTGTATCGGCGCTATAGATGGTACTCATGTTGACTCGCGTGTACTGGTGGATGACCAAATACCATATCGTGGAAAAAAAACTGAACCAGCACAGAATATAATGTGTGCATGTTCATTCAACATGCGATTTACTTTTGTGATGAGCGGTTGGGAAGGAACCGTCAATGACTCAAGAGTATTTATTAAGTCTCTTCATGACCCAGAAAATAACTTCTCAATGCCTGGAGGAGGTATTTATTCAATTGTACCCTTATTTTTGTTTATACAAATTATCATGTTCATTTACAAGTGTACTGTTTGACAGATAAGTATTATGTTGTTGACTTTGGATATACGAGCATGCTGGGTTTTTTGTCACCATATTATGGAGAGAGATATCATTCACGTGAGTATAGAGGTAGTGGCCGACGTCCAAGAAGTAAGAGAGTTATTCAATTACCGTCACTCATCTCTTCGGAATATGATTGAACGTTGCTTTGGAGTACTTAAGGCTCGATTTTCCATTCTCAAGCAGATGCCCCCTTATCCCATAAAAACACAAAAATACATACCAACAGCTTGTTGTACCGTGCACAACTTTAGTAGAATGCATGCTCGTCAAGATCGATTGTTTGATGAGTTCAGTGATGAAAATAGGGATTGAGATCGACTTCACAAAACCCAATTGAAGTAGATATCAGTCCAAACCAACTTGGTCAGATGGCTCGTGTGAGAGATGGCATTGCTAATGAATTTTGGGCAAGACTGTATGAGCATTGATAGACATTATTGTTGTTGGTGCTTATGAATTATGACTTTTGTTGTTGGTGATGCTAACTTTAGTGTGGTGTTATTAGTATTAAAATAACTATGAAGTATGAGATACTTATGTGGAATGTTTGAAAATCATGGGATATATTTGTAATATGTTTGAAAACTATTGGATGATCAATTATGGATTGTTGTTCTAACATTTTAATATGATGTAATTATGTTAATGTATACAAGTTGGTCAACAAAAAAAAAATATTCAAGTGTCACATTCAAACGAGTTTTCTATTTTTGTTTTTAGATTTTTTTACAACTATAAAAGCAACCAAACACGTTTTCTGTTTTCATTTTTTGCTAACGAAAATCTAAAACTGATTCTGTTTTTCATTTTTTTTAAAAATTAAAATTGTAAACATTACCAAACGAGCCCTAANACAACCAAACACGTTTTCTGTTTTCATTTTTTACTAACGAAAATCTAAAACTGATTATGTTTTTCATTTTTTTAAAAAACCAAAATTATAAACGTTACCAAACGAGCCCATAGCTATTCAAGTAAATGACATTCAGTGAAGAATTTAATTAGAAAGTACAAATTTAAGGATTTAAAAGTATTCAATCTGTTTTCTAATCTCTGCATCCAATTCTATTGTCCCCTTTAGGTGTTGATCTAAACGACTAGCCCTCTTATTTCCAATGAACCAGTATTAGAGATATTCCAACAAACTGAATTCGTGCTGGGTTCAACAGCAAAAAAATGGAACCTCGGAATGGAAATTAACACCACATTAGTTTTTCTTTAACTCTGTGTTGACAAATGCATTCTTTTTTCATTCCACTTGGAAAAATATTTAAGTGCTGAAATGTATAGAGAGAAATGTAAAGATAGAGAGAAGCATGCAGTAATCAAATATCTTTACTACAAAAGTAAAAAAGAATAGGGGTGCTCTGGCAATATGAGGAAGTCCAATGTAAAAGAACACACAACTACAGTTTTAATATCTTGGAAAATAAGTAGAAATTGCATTAAATTACTTCTTAGGGAAAGCTATGGATGAAGAAGATAACATGGCCANAAATAAGTAGAAATTGCATTAAATTACTTCTTAGGGAAAGCTATGGATGAAGAAGATAACATGGCCAGATGTAACGAGAATGCATCCCAAAATAACCAGTCCAAACTGGCCCTAAACTTCCTATTCCATTCCACCAGTTTTAGTTCGGAACTATGCGTCCAAAAGTAGCTNCAGATGTAACGAGAATGCATCCCAAAATAACCAGTCCAAACTGGCCCTAAACTTCCTGTTCCATTCCACCAGTTTTAGTTCGGAACTATGCGTCCAAAAGTAGCATCAAAGTAATTACAACAATAATACCAAACCGAGTGGAGATCATTTTATGCTTAAACAAGTGTCGCACCCGTGCGATTCATGGGGGTTTGCAAACCTCCTGTCGCTCTTCCTTTCACCCACCATTTGGGAATAAGGAATTATGAGAAGCTATGCATTATCTGGGAATTCAAAGAATTATGGAAAATTATTGGAGATTAAAACTAATTTCTGAAAAGAAAATTTACATGAGTAATAAGAGATTGGAAGCTAGTTATAGNGAAGCTATGCATTATCTGGGAATTCAAAGAATTATGGAAAATTATTGGAGATTAAAATTAATTTCTGAAAAGAAAATTTACATGAGTAATAAGAGATTGGAAGCTAGTTATACAAACCAAATTTTGAATATCGATTGGATGAATAGAATTAATCTTAATCAAAATTCTAAAAAATCAGGAAAGGAGGAGGGAAGGCTTCTCAAGCTCCTCTATTCTTAATTTGATTGCCATATATTAACAGATAGATATCTCTGAGGGCTAAGCACTATATTATTTGATGATGATAGACAAATGGGCAACAAAGAAAATTGAAATTGACGAAGTTATAAAAGAAAGAAAGGAACTCAGCAGAGACAATTGTGCACATACACATGATGCCCACATACCTTAATCAGAAAGAGAAGGCATGAAGTTGCTATAGGAAGAAGAGTACATAGGACCACTATGAAACCCTTTGGACTGCTCTTTCGAACCACAATATGGTGGACATCAATGGCTTCAAGAGGACCCTTTTCGACATCATGAACGTATATGTATCTCGCAGTTTCACTAGCGGAGGACTCCGCCATTTGTCAATACTTCGAAAGCAGACAATCATTCAACCAACATCATATTGTTGGCAATAACCTAAATTCAGAACCCAAAAAAGGAAACAAAATAATAGCCAGGTGGTGGCAATAGATTAGGGTTTTCTGTATATATCGTGAAGAATGAAAACTGAACAATAACAGATAAAAATCTCAGATGAATACGTAGTTACCTGGAGCTATTCTCGATTTGAAACCAAATAACCAGTCAATTCAACAAGTGTTTGTAGCTGGATTTGTTTCCAGGGAGCGTATCGCAAGAACATTCGTCTTAATTAGCTGTAATCTCTGCAAGTGTGGCACACAGACACAGTTCGACTAATGACTTCTGGCCTGTGTGTGTGTCTGTGAGACAGAGAGAGAGAGAGAGAGAGAGAGAGAGAGAGTTTTGCTTCTTCATGGGCTTTTCAAAGTTTCCATCAATATCATTGCCCATCTATGACAATAATACAAAACAGAGCGTTTCAAATAAATTTATCCATGGGCTACTAATATTCATTTTAAAATTATTCATATTACACATATTTTCATACACAAATTAACCCTAACATAAACTATTTTGGGTCTATAACCCAATTTAAATTTAATAAGCCCAATAATCAAGTCCCTTGATGTTTTTTTTTTCTTTTGAAAATAATAATATTATAGAAATCTATTATAACCATTGAATTACCAACTTATAGCAAGTTCTAATTAATAATAAAATCCATTGTTAATTCAATAATTGTGAGTAATTAAATTAATAAATAAAATTCAAATAATATTACTATTTTAAAAAAAATCATTATCCAGCCCCTTTTCTATCACCCCCTAGTGTTGCCATTGTGTGGTGGTGCCCAGAGTCTTACATCAAATGTATAATAAAAAAAATAAGTAATATTATATGGACTTAAAATAATGACTTGATTAATTATTATCATTGATTTAAGAAAAAATTTCACTTATATCCCCTCTAGTTAGGTATAAATTTAACGACACTCTCTTTCTATTATGAAACTTCATTGTACCCCCTTCTGATTTAAAACTTTCAAATCAAAAACACCCTCTTAACCATGAAGTTTAAGTTGTTTAATAGTGCCGGTTGAAAAAGTAACGGTTTGCCATTAAATTTTTTAAAAATGTCAAAACTATCCCTTCTTATATAAATGTACAAAAATTAGAGGTGCCAATTTTTGACTCAAACATGAACCCCACTCAAACCGAATCTTACACGAACTCGAAAATAACACGATTCATTGACATGAGAAATAAACGGGTCAAATTAAGATTCGACACGAATAACACGATTAATGGGTACTGTAGATAGAAAATAATTATTTTATGAGTATTTTAGATAGAAAATAAGATTTTTATAATTTTTTAAATAGTATTATATTAATCATTGTCAAATTAAATAATTTTTTATTAACACGAATATTGACACGAATCCGACACGTACTAAAAGTGATACGACACAACATGATTGACACCCCTAACTAAAATGTCCCTAACATTTTTTTCTCTATATATATATATATATATATACACACACACACACACACACGAGGTTTGTTCTTCAAGTTGTTCTCCACATTGATCGTTCACTATATAAGTTGGTAGATATTTTTTTTCTTGTAAATTTGTAAATGTTTTTTATGCAATTTTTTTTTAAAAAAATTTCATTAAGTTTATTTTTTTAATTTTTTTATGTTGATATTTTTAATTTTTTCATGTAATTTTTTTTAATATTTGTTCAGGCCTTTTTTTTACTCAATTTTTTTATGTAGATAGGTTTAAATTTTTTTTCATGCAATTTTTATTTTTAGATGTTTAAATGTCAATATAGTATGATGTATTATTATAGGATTGATGTCTTCTTCAATTGTTGGCGGGGGTAGAGACAAAGGAGATGAGGAGTTTGACATAAGATATAGTTATAAACCATGTTATTATGAGAAAAAAATTGTGGTTAAGATAGTGGAATCTGATAAGCCTCGTCAAGGAAGACTGTATTACAATTGTGAAAAAGGGTCTGCATATTTTTTGCGTGGTGTCATTCGATATTTGTTGTACCACTGATCGCCCAACCTGAAGGGTATGGAATGGGGCATCGCAATACAGAGACAAATATTGAATTGAACAATTTGGCTTCAAGAGTGCAGTCGATAGAGGACACCCTACAATGCATGAAGAAGATGATGACAATTGTAATTGTGATTTTAGTATTACAACTTTTGGTTGGAATGAAGTAGTTACTGACTGATGTTTTTGGTTGTGCAAATATGATGTTTTTGGTTGTTCAAAATTGATACTTTTGTTCTATGTAATATGACTCGTATGCTGTTCTAACTACTATGAAATATGTCTAGTATGATTTTGTTATGCATTGCAATTTTGACTAGTATGCAATTTACCTCCATTCCCATACATTCATAATAGTTTCAATATTTAGCATCCATGTGCAGTCACAAACTATTCTATTGTGACATTTGCAGCTATTCTGCACAAAAATTTACAAGTAATATGTTAAACCAACTATTAAATAACCATCCGTTCTACACAAAAGTCTTAGTTTATTCCTAATCTATTCCTATGTTAAACCAACTATATTCAAGTATTCACACTAGGAACAAAAACAATTAAAAAGTCAACACTGATAAACTGATCAAGTCCCAGCTGTTTGTGTCTCCCCCATGCCCCTGCCCCCTACCCCTGTCTTTCCTTGCTTTGCCTCGTCCTCTTCTTGTGTCCACTAACCCTTTAATGTTCTGGTTTTCTTGTGGCAAGCTTGGTTGTGTGTTGTCCCTTCAATGTTCTGGTTTTATGGTGGTAAGATAGGTTGTGTTAGTGTTCCTCTTCCGTTGCCCTTACTCTTCATTCCTATTCCTCTGCAACACCAGTCCCTCCAGTTGTAGATACCTAACAAGT